CCAGTATCACCACTCTCATCACTGGGCCTGAAGGGATCATCTGTCCTGGATTGCCCGTGTTTCCAATTCCTATCTGTACCAGTGTACATCCTCTGGTCCAGCCGGATTTGTAAGGTAGAATTGGGATCATGATAGTGGGGGGGAGGAAGCATTTAAGAATTAGAGGAAAATTGTATATTTCATCGTTGCTACACTGCACTCTGATTGGCTCATCTCCTCTCCGCCTCCTGGGTAAATTTTGAAGCTAATTTCTAACACCTCCCTCCCCAAGAAAAGTAATTCTAGCATAACTCGTATAGGCAGCTGCTTTAGAAAGACTTGAAGGCAGGCAGTAATTATAAAATGTTACTGAGAATCTAGAACGACGTCCTACCACTTGTATCATTCTAGTTTTATTGCCACCAACATTATGAAGAATGCATTAAAGTAGCAGAGAGGGGACTGAAAGACCAAAACTGGGCATTTGAAATCAGTATGGCTCCGAGTATGCCAGAGTGTCTGAAACCTTTTTTGTTTTAAAGCAGATAGGTAGAAGTAAACAGAGATCATATATGATTTTGTTTAAAAGTACCAAACATAACATTATCAATATCATGTAGATGTTTAATCAGGAGTTCAAAGTTGAACTTGTTTGTTTAGTTTTAAAAGTGAATATTTGCGCATGAGGCCTTTTTTTGTCTGTGCATATCAGATGTCCACTTTAGCTATTATTTTTGGATTGCTATATCATCTTCTCTATACATCATCTCTCTGTCCTTCCAATGATGTTAAAGCACTGATACTGGTGACATACTTGGAAAAGCGGTTTTCATCCATTCATTATAATCACAACTTTAGGTGGCAGTTGACATTGTAATTTCACAACTATCAATAGATTTGATCTTTCAGATAACAAATATGTAGTTTAAGATGCTAATTGTAGTGATTTGTAATTGATGTAGGAATCGTAGAGACTACGTCTTAGCATCTTCTAAACCTAAGGCTTTGGAGAGTGAGACCTCAGTGCTAGCTGTGAGCACGTTATAGCATAGGTTTTGAGTTGGCCACCCGCTTATCAAAACTAAAAGATCAACAGGGACACTCTAGTATATCACCCAGAGATTTCAATTTGATGCTTTCTCTAGAATAGAGTGGAACAGCAAAGAGGGCTATCGCCAGGAAAGCCCAAAGTGGATTAAATAATTAGTACTGCGGCGATGAATTCTTCTGCATTTTTGTATCCATATTTATAATATATGCAGAAATCAACCTTTTCAGGTTATATTGCTGTACTCACCTGCTTCCAACATTTAAATCTCAACCACAAAGAAAGACATGAAATAAGTGTTGGGATGAGCTTAAGTTTGAAACCTCAATGTGACACAAATAATTGAGAATTAGGTAGTGGTGATGGTTGTATAACTTTGTATATACTAAACACCATTACACTGTGTAATTTAAAAAGGAGAATTTTATGGTATGTGGATTATATCTAAAAAAAAAGTTGGGTTTTTTTTTTATACAAAGTATCTCTAGGGGATGGCCCCTGAGTCTACCACCTTCCTTTCATGAATCCAATTCTCACCATAGAAATCTGTGCAGAAGCCTCACGTCTACACTGCAGCTACAATGACTGCTTGCACCCATGCAGACATAGAGCTGTGGTACGTTGATTTTCAGTGACATTTATTAAGAAGTTATATGCAGTCTTGGTGGCATAGTGGGCTGCACGCAAGAATATACACGTACACTGTACATTGTTGTTGAGTGCTGTCAACTTGATTCTGACTCAGTGAAAGGGTAGAACTGCTCCATTGAGTTTCCAAAACTGTAGTCAAAGCAGCACATGTAATAGCCAGGTCTTCTCTCCTGCAGAGTGGCTGCTGGGCTGTCGCAGCCAAGTGCTTTAGCCGTGGTCACTGAAACCTTTTTTGTTTTAAAGCAGATATGTAGTAGTAAACAGTACGAGATCGTATATGATTTTGTTTCAAAATACCATACGTAACATTATCAATATTATGTACATGTTTAAACCAGTAGTTCAAAGTAGAATTGAACGTTTTTGTTTTGTTTCGAAAGCAGATATTTGTGTCTGATGGCCTTGTAGTACACACACAGATACACATGCACACTGCCTGTGTTGCCCAGGCATGGTGTTGAGACAGAAAGGAAAGCTTTACTGGACAAAGGCTATAGGCTCTTTAGTCAAAATCTCTTTCATTGCCCTGTTTAACTTGTACCAGATGTAATATTTTGGGTTTGTCATACCATTTTTTAAATTTCAGATGAAGCTAAATGCAGGATAAAGATTTGTCTATTGAAATTCACTGTGTGAATTTTCATTTTGGTACAGGCCCTCAGAAAATACACATTCCTGGATGTAGGTAGCTGTTCTGGTGCAATTAAAAAAAATTAATAACCAGGCCTCTCCTCAGCAGTTACCAAGTTAGAAATTAAGTACTTCTTTTTTGTTTTCGTGCTATTTTAAGGAGATGAACTGTTTTCACTGGGGGATCCATTTACTAGTGCTATCACTCTGATGATGGATCTCTTTCAAGAACCACCATCTTCACCGGGCTCTGAACGATGGTATACTTTTCTTTCTTTAATTAAAGAACTACTTGCACAAAAGTGATTGAGCCTTAAAGAGCACAGTTAATTAATTAAATTCTCTTAATCTCCCAAAGCATCCTGAAGGTTATGTCATAACCTGTTCTCAGTGGGGAAATCCGAGAAAAGAATCTGAAGTGCTTAGACCCTCTCGAGTGTGGCACACAGACCA